TGCCGAAGGAAGAGGGGATCTGCGTGAACATCTTAGGAAGAGCGATTTCCAAAACTTTTCCCGACAACAAGGCCACAGATATGGCAAACAGCCCAACTGCCAGGAAAGGGCAGGCTGCTGAATTGTCTTTCTTTCCTCACACTAGAGCTGGCTTCTGTCTCCAAAATCTGCAGCTGCTCTCTGCACACTTTGTAACAGCAAAGGGAAAAATAACCCACAGGAAGGATCATCTCCCCAAAACTTGCCCTCTCCAGCCTCTGCTTTAGCTTCTCCTCCTCTGCTGCTCCTGCCAACCCAATCCTCTTGGAAAAGCACCTCAATTTCCTTTGGATACAGGACCAAGCCGTCACCATCCTGAGACACGCTAGAACTGGGACTAGAGGTGTCAGTGACACGGAACCCCACTTGATCCCACCTGGAAAAGAGCACTGTTCTTGGGAACAGGCATTAATGTCCCACTCTTCCTTAAGGGGAGGCAGCAGGAAGAGACAGCACTATGTATGGAGTCACCTGATACAGCTGGAAACAAGCTTTTGGGCTCACATTCCTCCAGCACATCTGAGCACAAAGCAGAGACGCAGCCACCAAGGCGGCCTCAACAACCCCCCAAAATCCTCCCGCCGCCTCTCACCTCTCTCCCTTTCCTCGTCGCCTTCCCTCGCCGCTGTATCCAGCCCCTCTTCCCGCGCCGCGGCCTCGCCGTTGGGGAGGCTCCTGCTCTGCTGCTGGGCCAGCTTCTGCCGCAGGGCGTTGATCTCGCGCCGGAGGAGGCGGAGGCGGCGCGTGCGGGCGCCGCTCGAGCGCATGGCGCTCACCACGTCCAGCTTCTCCAGCAGCTCCTTCAGCTGCGCCTCCAGCGAGAGGTGCGCGCGGTTCTCGGGCGCCAGGACGTTATCCACTGCACCAAAAGAGATTGCCACAGTGACTGCGGAGCTGACGGGAAGAAGCCAGGCTGCTCCGAGGAGGGAATTCCCGGCAAGCCGTGCCCATTCCCGGCAATCTTCTCAATTGTGGGAGTGAGGAACGTTTGACCTTAGAGCTTGGACATCCCTCCATGGGGCCAAAGGCAGCTGTGATTTAATGTGCACCCTGCATGATCCAGCTTGCAGCCCAGGTTCTTAGCAGAAACCCACTTCCTTGCCACATGGAGCTACTAAGGCAGCCTGCAAATTTGGGTGGCCAAAAAAACACCACATTGGCCACTCTGGCAGCTCTGCTGAAGGACCAGCACCCGCCGGAGCAGGACGGAGAGCTGAGGCCAGGCTATCAAACCCCATCACAGACTTCATCCGAGACCGAGATGGACTGTTTGGGTCCCGGCCCCTTAGCCCTACAAAATCCCTCCCGTCTCCGGTTCTCCAGCGAACTCAGTCCCTTGGCACCATGTCCTGGTGCTGCCCACCCTGAAAGGTTTGGCATTTCTGGCGCAATCCTAGAAGAGGGGTGAAATCAAGTCAGTTTTCCCATTCAGTTCTCCCTGCTTGTTTGTCCCAGTTGTAACCAAGGAAATTTTTAAAAACTTAGATGGAAAACACAGTGTTACCCCAGCCTCTGAATAATACAGAGCTGGCTCTATAACGAACCACCACAAATAAATACTATCAACTTTGAAACAGACGATCTTTCCTCCGAGCAAAATAAATCCTAGATCCACCTTCCTAAATCAGCAGACACGGAACACACTGCAGGTCAATAATCCAGGTACAAGATAACCAGCATCGATTGACCCGCGCATTGTTCTTTAAAACACCAAGTTTCTCTTGCAACCACAGCACAAAGCAAACAGCAAATGCTTGATCTTGTGATAAAAGCACTAGAACAGAGACATAGGAGAACAAGATTCAGTATCCAGTTCTACCGGTAATTCCCTCTAACTGGAGCTTCATCTTTCCTTGCCTCCATTTCTCACCATACAGCAGGGACTTCCCTGACTCCAAAGAGCATGATGAGAATACACTATTTAGGAGGGATCCCTGGTCCCCTTTTCACACATCAACACCCACTAACTGGAGCAGCTTTTCAGCAGCTTTCACTTGCACCTAGACACCAATGTGAAGGTTGGATTTTCCAGGAGAGCAGAGCAGCCTCCCGCTCCCTGGGCACCAGGCAGAGCGGTCACGGGCTCCTCCGAGAGGTGGAGATAGGAGCTGGGATCTGAAAGCTGCATCTAGCTCTGAGCACTGGGCTCACCTGAGATCCTGCTCTTTGAGGCTATCAAGGAGTTAAATATATGACTTGGTAAGTAGAAGGATAGGAAAAAATCTCATGTATTGAATCATGGCTGTGATTTTCAGGCAAGCCAAAACTAACAACACGGTTACAACCTGCCATTTCCTCTGCTGAAAACGAAGGTTAATAAGCACTCACCATCCTCCCAAGAAAAGCGGTAAAAGTCCTCAGTTTTGGGTGACTCGGGCAGGTGAATCCCCACATCAGTGTCAAAGCCGATGTTTTCAGCCTGCCGCCGTGCATGACGCAAAATCGCTCCTCCGAGGTCTCGGAGCCGGACAGCTGCTCGGTGGAAAATGGTGTCTTTAGCATTATACCTCATGCAGTTGGTAACTATAAGGTTAAAGTCTTCCTCAAACTCATCCAACGTTCGGTACAGGTGGGACTCCAGCTTCCGCCTCATGGTGGAAAAATCCATTGGGTTGGAAATGAATTCCAGGTAATCTGGAACCTAAACATATAAAACCTGTACAATTACAAAAACCATTTACTAGCCAACTAGAGCGCATCCATCATAAGCACTCTTAACGCCCTGTCCACCTGCACGGGGCACTGCCAGCAGTTGTTTTCTGTGTCACCCAGTCAAACCAGACACATCCTGCCTTGGCAAAATATTACTTGTCTGAGACGTGTTGAAGCTTCCAGAAAACAACACCGTTTGGGCCTGGAAGGATACCCACACCGGGAGTCCTCTTTGAGATACTCTTTAGTCCACCAGCAGCTTGGGACAAGGTGGTTTGTGCTTCCACGGGTAGGACAGGCTATGAGCTTCTGCCCAGCCACACCTCATCTCCAGCCCATTAGACACCTGTAGCAAAGGGACTTGCCTCATTCAGGTTAACGGGCTCGGCAAAGATCTGAGCAGCATCCTTCTCCTGCAGCAGGTCCAGCGTCGCTGCACCTTCCCCTGGCAGCAGGGAAACCCAGAGGAACAGTTATGGAGAACAACACGTGCAAGTGGTGTCACCTCCCAGTTGCTCCTGAATCATCACTCCAGCTCTGTCCACTAGTGGAAAACTTATGTTATGGAATAGTGTACAGATATATATTTTTCCTTCGAGACCTTAATTTCTTTGATCTTATTATCCCTCACTATGTCCTTAAATCAATCCCTTCAATAGCAAGCAGGACTGAACTACTGCTGTAAAACCAGGGCTAGCTGATTTTAGCTGTCAATTAGTGCTGGCGTAAAAAGAACCACAGAAAGAGCTGCAGGCCCTTTCTGGCAACCAAAAAGCAGCATCTAGATGGGCCAGGGCTCTGCTTCCCCTCTGCCAGCGACTTGTAGACAGTCCTGGGGGCACAGCAAGGGTTCAGGCCATGCCTGGGGACCTGCATGCAGGCTTGCTGTGCACGGGGTAAGCGAGGCTTTCCCAAAGCTCACCCTGAAGACACCTGTGCAGGATGGGACAGATGTGGCTGCTCTGTCCATCCTACATGGGCTAGGAAGGGCCCTCAGAGGACAAAGCTGCTAAGCATGATGTAACTCCTGCAACTCTGAAAAATGGAATACGGATCAAAGAAGAAACCGGAAAACTGAGTAAGTGATCTCTGTCTTAAAGATGTTTCTTCTCAAGATAAGGTACTAGGAAGGCAAATCACAGGACCTCTTAGCTTTAGAAATGGCAAGCAGACCTATGATCTAGAGCTCTCTGGGGTGGTGGCCACAAAACTGCAATAAACCTTAAAAGGAGAACTAGTTTCTTCTCTGCAAAACACCTGGTCCAGGCCAGAAATAGAAGGGATATTGCAGGTCAGGATGAGCATTCAGTTAGTTACACAAGCGCATTTCGCAGCCCAACGCTGGCTCTGAGGGCAGGTTGCGCAGTGCGAGCCACGGCAGGTTGCCCTGGCCAAGCTGCTCAGGGATAGACGCAAGGAGGTTGCATGAGCAAAGCTGCTCTGCGTGGCCAGAAGTCTAGGAAAAGTCTAGGACAAGAGCAGGAGGGTTAAGGAGAATCGCTGTGCTCCTCCCCTGCCTCCTGCAGAACACGGTGCTTGCCTGGAACTGAAGCCAAGGGCAGCAGCTTGATAACCAGAGCTACCTACCTGCTCCCGCTTGAGCTTCTCCCTCTTCCGGATGAGCTCGATGAGCAGCCGTGCCCGCTCCAGGTCATGCCGCAGCTTCTGCCAGTACTTCAGCTCTTCCTTCACTGCACTGGTCTTCTCATCTTGCTCCTTCTGCAACACAGAACAGTGGGGTTAGAAGAAAAACATCCCTGGCCCTCTGTGTCTTCTTCTGAGGCGTTTCCCCCACAAATTGCTGTCAGTCTTCTTCTATACTTCTGTTTAGGCCATGTTCCCTCCCTCCTACAAAACTGGTTGAACTTCAGCTGTAAAATAACAGTTTCAGCCTTTTTGGATGGTATCTGTGATGTCAGGCCTGAACCACTCTGCAGCTGTGCCCTGGGAACACGCTCTGGGGGTGCTCACCCACGCTCACTGCTTTTATATCAGTGCTCATTACAGAGGCTGAAATTCTCTTCTGAGTAACTGTGCGTAGATGAGATAGTCCAAGGACTTTACAATATAATCCAAGGACTTTACAATATAAAGGCAAACAAAAGTATGTGATAAAAGCTATCTTCTCTGTAGTGAATAGGAAATTGAGCCACAAAGATTTGTCGAAACAAAGGCAGAGCCAATGCTGGGAGATGAGCTCACACTTTCCAAGCCACAGTTCAGTGGCTTCACAACGTTAAACATCCTTCCTCTCCCAAGGCTGTAGCTTTTCAAATGGTTCTGAGGTTATACCTGGAGAGCACACACTTCCTCATGATTGCCAACAGAGGACAGCTGCTACCCAGTCTTGGTGGCTTCTAGGATTTCGTTTTTATGAACTTTTTGATGGTAAGTTGCCAACTTAACATACCAAGGAAATTCTCTATTTCCCCATGCTCCAGACCAAGGAGCAGGAAATATTTTTTGTTAATCATCCAGAGAAGCCTTCAAGCAAACCTCAAAGCCCACAAATTCCTCTGACAACAAAAATACATGTGAACAACATGCCCAGCACCTATTAAGATGTTAAGTTACAGGGCAGAGAGAACTACGGCCAAGAGCAGCACTGCTCAGCACCACCGAGCGACTCCGGATGCCAGCTCAGAAAAGGAAGTAAAGTCTGGAGCTGGAGCTTGGGTATAAACACCCCTATGAATGTGCTGGGAGGGTCAGAAATCCAAGCTGCAGGAAGAATGAGCTAAACTGCAATTTGGCCAGAGCTCTGCAGCTAACACCCACTTTCTTGAGGAGGGGATCTTCAATCACTAGCGAGGAATGTGGTTTTGTGATTCACCAGGGAGATGGGTCCAACAAGGGACCATCACACCCTTGCAAAGCCCCGGGTGTCCTGACGCAGGTAGGCAACTCCCACGCGCCGGCTCATCCGCTGCTGCGGCACGGTGGACACCACGTCGGCGCGCGGGCTCTCAAGAAGGCCAAACCGAGAGGGGGCCAAAACAGGGCTCATGCACCAAGGGCATCCCCCCGGGCCCCTCGCCCTCCCGCAGCGCTACCTGCTCCGCGCTCCGCTGCGACTGCAGGTGCGAGTGCAGGCGGCGGATGAGGGGCACCCCGTTCCGCGCCTGCCGCTTCAGCAGCCAGTAGTTGTGCAGCCTCTGCATGAACTGGTTCTTCCTCTGCAGAGAGAGGCCGCTGCAGATTTTGTTCAACCTGGAGGAAACAAGGAGGTGCTGTGGAGCAACGGGCAAGTTTTTGGGGGGATCTTGGGGGTACCGCCAGGCTTCCACGCTGTGATGATGCACACGCTGACCTACGTGTGGAACCAGCATCAGCCTGGGGCAACATGGGGACTTCTTCACATGCGTCTACCTTACACAATGTCACTATTCCAGCAGCAGCTCGGTAGAGGTAGTTCCCCAAACCAGCCACAGCATGATCAATATCTTCCATCCACCTTCAAGAGCCAAATTAATTGCCAAGAAATTTATTTGGGGTCATTTAAGACTGACATTACTAAGCTAGAGTCTGGCAAACCAACTTGACCGGCCGCCAGGAACAATGTAGCCTCCACTTCAGCCCTTTCATTAGATTACACGCGGCGCCCGGTCAGCGCCTTGCCAAGGCTCAGCTGCCAACGCGCTGGCAACACACGAGGTACCTAAAGGCACCGCCTGAAAGCTCAGCCCAGCAGAGCCCGATTTTACGTTACACTGCAGCTTGGGAATCCTCCTAGGCAAAGCAGGGAAACCCCAGAGCCAGGAGGAATGGAATGGTCAGGAATGGATCTGGTAGGACACACTGTGAACGTGGCTATTGCAAAGTTATGAGTGAACACAGTGTTTCCAAGTGCACCATTCAACACTGAGAGGGACTGAGCCCTCAAAAGCACCTTGCAGCAACAGCACTCACCTGTAAGATGGGATCTGTGTGACTGTCACCATGGGCACAGAACGCCCATTAGTCACATCACCAGGCTCCTTTTTGATCTTCTGCTTCAATTTCACTTTATTCTTTTTCAGGGATGCTTTGGGAGGGCAAGAATTGGCTTCCCCCTCTCTGTCCTCCTTCACAGTGTCCTCCTCCCCGTCGCTGGCAGCAGCCAGAGACCCTTTCCTCACCGTGCCGGGTGGGCAGTGACTCCCGCAGAAGGCAGTTTTGCGCACCGTGAACGTCGTGCCGTTGACGCTGGTCTCCCTCATGGGTTCAATCTTCATGAAGAGACCGGCCCGCTGGGCACAGGTGACGTGGAAGGCAGTGTAACAGTTCACCTTGTGGCACTGGATGGCAGCTCCCATGCCCTTCTGCTTGCAGATGTAGCACGTGAGCTTCCAGCGAGCAGGGGGGATATTGTTGATGCCTTCGATGGGCTCCAGGAACACAGTGTTCGCAAAGCAGACCTCCGGGATCCAGATGGCACAAACCACGTGAGCCCAGCGACCGTCGCTGGTCTGCTTGAAGGCTCCACCTTTGTTGGGACAAAGGACACAATCCACGGGGCGAGAAGGGGACTGCAGGCAGCAGCGGCAAAGCCACTGCCCTTCTGGGATGTAGGGCACTCCGTAACACTCCTGGTGCACGGCCAAATTGCAGATATCGCAGAAGAGGATGACGTTGCTGTTGTGACACTCGTCGTCCATGCAGACGCAGCAGAAGGCGTCCTCGTCGATCGGCGACTGCTGCGCCCCGTTGCTGCGGCTCTCGAGGTACGACTCCTTTTCCAGCCGGTCCAGCAGCAGCTCAAAAGTGTCAGCAGAAACCGTGCCGTAGCCATCGTCCCTTCTCTTCTCATTGACCATTTCTAGCCAGGCCAGATCCTCCTCATCCATGTCATACTCCACCTCCACATCGAGGTCCTCCGGGGGCTTCTCGATGTATCGGTAGTAGGCAGCAGGGAGAGGGGGGGCTGCCGGCTGCCCAGGGGACTCCACGACACGGAAGTTGGGCTGGGGCAAGTGTAGAGATGTCCCTGGAGCATGTTTGGAGCAGGACTCCTTCTTCTTGCCTTTGGAAGGGGTCTTCTTGGATTTGGAAGGGAAAAGGGGCTGCTCACTGTTTTCCTTGTTGCTGTTACACTCGGTGATGTCCTGGGCGGTCAGCTCGTCCTCGGTGATGATCTTCAAGGGATCGTAGATGCTGATGCGGTGGAGCCGCCCGTCAATGTCCACCTCCACGATGCGCTGCCCCTGCAGCGGCACAAGGCAGAGGCAGCGTGAGCGCGAGGCGGGCGCGGGGCAAACGGCCCCGCAAACGGCCCCCGGCGCCGCCGCTCCTGCCAAAACCTCCCCCGAGCTCACGCCTGCGAAGCTGCTTCACCTTCCTAGACGCAAGCAGCTCCACCGTGACTTTGTCCCAGCAAAGCTTCACCCCCAGAAAAAATCCAGTAACACTAATTCCACCTGCCTGCACCCCTCGCATACGAAGATCACGCAGGTGGAAGGATTTTCCCCTGGGATTTTTTGGCTGTGACTACTCCTTTCATCGCCTGTAATGCACACAATGCACTGGATGTTTTCCAGATCTACAGGAAAGCACTGTTCCTGCTCTATGGCAAGCAATTCCCATTTTTTTTTTCTGGTGGGTGGGGGAAGCTGATCTCCATGCAAAAAAACTACCTTAGCCTTGCTCAACACCGCTTCACACACCGGGGTTGTCGCTGCCTCCCCCTCCTTTCCCATGCCACAGATGCAAGAAATTCCCAAAGCAGCGGAGCTGCAGCTGCAAGAAAACCTGTTCTCCAGCTTCGCTTTCTTATGGATGTAGCTGGGAATGAGCAGCATAGATCCAGGATGGACTTACTGGCTCTGGCTCGGCACCAGCCCCGCTGGAGCTGCGCCCGCGGGAACGCCGTGTCCGGGCACCCGCGCTGGGTCTGCGCCTGGAAAGCGGCTGGGAACGGAATGACTGTATTTACCCGGAGCGCCAACCCCGTGTCCCAGCCGGCTCTGCCCTCGCAGGAGGCTCAAGGGCAGCCCAGATAACTGCGGCTCGGCCGCCTATCGTTAAGGAGGTGCCGATGGACAGGGAGCGAAGCCGGAGCCGGAGAGAGGAGCTGGAGGGAGGAACGAAACACGGCGGCGGCCCAGGATGAGGGAGGGAAGGGCACAGAGGGAAGCGGGGAGGACGCCCGAGGAGCAGGGACAGAGGGAAGTGCCAGGGAATAGGAGTGACGGGAAAAGAGGTGCTGGGGAAGAAACAGCCCGAGGAAAAAACCCAGGGCGAAAAGGCAAAGCGAGTGCAAAATCTCCCCGGGAAGATAAGCGAGGCCAGGGCTTATCTGCTGCGACGCAGAGGGTGCAGGAAGGGCCTCCCCCGGCTCCGGGCGCTCGGCACCTTCAGCCCTGCAGAAAGGGGCCCCTGTGCCCAGGGGTTTGGCCATTCTGTTAGTCCTGCACAGAATCAAAATGTGGGGAAAGTTCCCCAGCTCCCCTCTGTGCCACGTGCTCTACGTGTCCCTGCGTGTGCAGGGGGTTGGACTAGATGATCTCTAGAGGTCCCTTCCAACCCGAAGCATTCTATGATTCTATGATATGATTCTATGTAAGTCCCAGGTTTCCATAAGCAGTCCTGTATCTACGGAGCCTGTGGACATGGTGCAATTTCAGGCGCAAAACACAGGGCAACAACTTCCAGCTGCAAATAAAGAGATTGGGATTTTGTCTTGTCCCTGTCTTAGGATGTGAATGAGCCACTTGTGAATGAGGTTGCAGAGCATCCAGCTGCGCTCGCGCCATCAAGTCACAGGAAAAAGGAGTGTTAAAAGGAGGGTATAAAGGCAGTTCGATCAGCAAACAGAACTGCTACAAAATCACGATGAGAAACAACTTAAAGTTCAGGCTGATATAAGCAAAGAAAATAAGTGCAAAAAGACCCTGGAGGATAAGATAATTCATGTGAGCCAACCCCAAGCATCATTAATACCACAGTCTGGAAAAGCAGGGCGCTGAGAGCACTGAGAAACAGGCAAACTTGGGAGCACCAGCACTCCAGAGCCCCCTTCCTCCCCTCGGGACGATGCGGGAAGAGCTCTGGGCCCTCGAGCGGCAGCTTTTCCACCTGTGCCTGGGAGCTCCAAGGGCGACCAAGGAAAACAAGCCTGGCCTCGAGGGGATCAAAATAATTAAAAAGGGGCTGGTGGCTCCACCAAAGAAACTGCCATTATCCGGATCCAGGGACTACTGAAAAGCCCCTGCTGCCCAAGCAGCCCGGAGGCGCCAAGCACCAGCGGGGGGAGAAGCCGTCTAGGGCAGAAGCCCCCACTGGAGCCAGGAGGATGCGACGCTCCGCCGGGCAGCACCGGGCTGCCCTGTAAACATGGGATGCGGGGGACATGACATGACGCGAGCTGTGCCGGTCCTCAGTCACAACGCTCTGAGGGAAGCGTTACATGTCACAAGCTACGCCTGTCCTCAGCAGCAGAAGCGTGACATGCAACGAGCCGTGCCTGCCCTCAGCAGCGCTGACGGAGGTGCTGAGGGAGCTGGGAGCTCCTCTCAGGGGAGCAGCACTCTGTAACCCTGCTTGGACCCCCCGCCAGACACTCCGAACCGGCCTGATCTGGGTCAGGACACAGCGGGATCCCGGCCAAAAATAAACGCCCGCCTGGGGGCGGCGGAGGCGCCGCGGGGCCGTGCGATGAGCTGCGCCCGCCCTCAGCCCCCTCTGGAGCGAAAAAGGTCCCCAAGCCGAGCGTGGGCGGAGCAGCGGAGCGCGACAAAGCGCGCCGCCAG